GTATAAAATACTGGGAGAATTTTTACATTAAATTCAAGGAAATAATTTTTTCTCATATTAGTTTTGAGAAATTTGTGCTTTCTTAATGAAAACCCTGGCTAGTCAGAGGGTAAAATTTTCTGTTTAGTCATTGGTTATATTTCTTGGCATCAAAATATTTATGTCTCGAAGCTACAATTGGTTGATCTTTGGATTATGGTAACTTGGCGAAAATTTGGCGACCAACTCTGCTACAGCAACCCTCTATTTTTTTTTTTTGACGCCATTTTGTCTTCACGAAGTAAAGACATGTTTCTTTTCTTTTTATTTAGTCAACACTTTTTCCAACAATCTACTAGCCGAATTACACTGATGCTAGAAATTTTATGTAACAAAACTGCTTAATCATGACAAATATTAACTGCAAAATTGGGAAAAAGTGCAGAATTGCAAACTCCTTGCGCGTTTTTCAAAATAGCACATACACATAAACCATTTACACGTCGACTTTTTTTTACTTAAAAAAACATCTCAGAATTGCACAAAAAAATGGCATTGCACACACTCTTAACTTTATCTATCTACACTGCTATTTTCTTATAAATTACAAAATTTGCACGAAAATGCAGGAAAATTTTCTTAATCTTTGAACTCGATAAAAAGCACATATATGAAATTACCTGATCGCGAAAAAGTACATACCCTTTCCAAGGATGAACATTTCCATGTATAAAATAAATAAAATATCCAAAAGCTTTTACCTCTAAATTATCTATTATATTATAAACGTCACCAACGAATTTATACGCAAACATTACAAATGGTTACAAATACTTAGTGTCAATATTTAAATTATTTCCATACACGTTTACTTCAACTGAAACGTATACCAAATTCCTACAAACATAAAATTCACAAAATAACTATCATTTAATTAAATATCACTAAACCATGTACACGTCGACTTATTTTTACTTAAAAAAAATCCCAGAATTGCACAAAAATGGCATTGCACACACTCTTCACTATATCTGCTTTTTTGTCATAAATTAGAAAAATTTCAGGAAAATGCATGAAAATTTTGGTAATCTTTAAATCCGGTAAAAAGAACATATATGAAATTACCTCATCGCGAAAAAGTATATACCCTTTCCAAGAATGAACATTTCCACGTATAAAATAAATAAAATATCCAAAAACTTTTACCTCTAAATTATCTATTATATTATAAACGTCACCAACGAATTCATACCGCAAACATTAAAAATATTACAAATACTTAGTGTCAAATATTTAAAATATTTCCATGCACGTTTACTTCAACTGAAACGTATACCAAATTCCCTACAAACATAAAATTCACAAAATAACTATCATTTAATTAAAATATCACTAAACCATGTACACGTCGACTTATTTTTACTTAAAAAAAACATCCCAGAATTGCACAAAAATGGCATTGCGCACACTCTTCGCTATATCCATGTACACTTCTTTTTTCTCATAAATTAGAAAAATTTCACGAAAATGCATGAAAATGTTCAACATATACTACTCAAACGTATTCCAAAATACTACAAATATATAAGTCATAAAATCACGATCATTAAATTAAAATATAATTAAATTAAAAAACACTACTTTAAATATAAATAAGCATATACATTAAATTAATAAAAATTAGATTACAATCCTAATTACTTTAAACTAAATCATTGCTAATAACAATTTTCCAATAATGCCACATTAATTTATTTACTCCTTACATTTAGAACAATGCATAAAAATAATATCCTCAAATGATTAAAATACTAACTTACCTAATCTTCTTCAGAATCTTCATTACATGGCTGCAGTACTACTGCTAATTTCTAAATCCGAAAATCCAGTAGTCAACTGGAAGTCTATTCACCAAGTTATAAGAAATTAATGAAATTTCACCTATATTCAAACTACTTTCAGCAAACCACGTACCCTTCCTTACACTCCGTTTCACAAAATGTCTATTTTCACCAGATTTCTTGCACCGCCATTTAAACTGTAATATCCTTCCTTTCACACAATCTCAACTTACTATTATTACCAGATAAACGCATTAAAAATTTAGAATTCACTTTACATAGCGCCATGCATCCAAAAATTAATCAACACTATTTCCACAACACACAATGAAGCTTAATACAAAATAATTTTTCCAAATTAACCCCCTTTTTGATTAAAGAACTGTAATTCGCCATTAATGTCACATGACTATCTCAGATCTCTCATTCCCTCACACACAAAATAATGCGTAATCGGAACAGTACTTCTCACATTATTACCAAAGTCCTAGGTAGTAACCTTATCGCCTCCAAAATTTCGCCAAACTACCTGTTACCATATTCCAAGACGCCAAAAAGGCTTACTTCGTAAAAAATTGTCCAAAACCTCTGCTGGTAGCAGGGTCGCCCTTTTCAAAAATCCATTTCATCTCAAGATTAACCAACAGAATTGTACAACTTGGGCCATGACACAGTGATCGGCAATCTTGGAATATGGTAACGGTACAGTGTCTCAAAAAGTGATGGGACACTTGTGCTTTACAAAAGGAAACTGCAATAAAATAAATTTAAAAAACATGTAAAATTTTTTGTGGGTGTGTTTCATACTTAAATTTAGTAACAATTATTACATAACATACATTTTCTCAAAATATTAAAATATTAATTTAATAAAAATACAATTGTTTAGAACGGAGCAGAAAATGGCTCACTTAAGTGATGGGACACTTACTTTTCCATCAAATATTTATCAAAAAATTTTACTTTTTAAAAGGTTTTAATATTTTGTTGGATTTCCTTTTACTTTTAAAACATGATTTAATCTTCTTGGGATGGATTCGACTAATTTTTTTGTGATTTCTGGAGTGATTTTACCCCATTCTTCTTGAAGCACCGATTTTAATTGTTGTTTTGAAGAAATGGTGTGTTTGCGAATTCTTGATTCCAATTCTTGCCAAATATTCTCTATGGGATTTAATTGTGGAGATTGTGGGGGTGTTTTTATTATTTCAGGACAGTTATACAGCAGCCAGAGTCTAACGTTCAAAGCACTGTGCTTGGGGTCATTGTCCTGGTAGAATTTAAAATCGTTATGAAGGTTCAATTTTCGTGCTGAAGATTTCAAATTTTGATTTAAAATGTCAATATACTTGTACTGATCCATTATACTGTCAATAAAAACAAGATTACCAACTCCAGCGGACGACATACACCCCCATACCATAACTCCTCCTCCACCATGTTTTACTGTTGGCACCAAGTTCTGTTTGCGAAATTCTTCCCTGGGTTTTCTCCACACCAAGATTCTACCGTCAGAACCAAATATATTAAATTTACTCTCATCAGCAAATATAACTTCATTCCAGTAATCAGAATTCTTATTTATGTTGGATTTTGCGAAAGCCAGTCTGAGTTTTCTATTCTTTTCACTTACGAAGAATTTTTTCCTGGCTGCTCTACCGTGATATCCAGTAGATCGGATTACTCTTCTAATAGTCTCAGAATTAACAATTACTCCATATAATGCTTGTAAATCAGCAGCAACTTTAGGAGCACTCATTCTTGGATTTTTTTAAAAATATTTCGAACGATAATTCGCTTTATTCCATTGGATAGCTTTGATGGTCGGCCAGGTCTTCTTTTATCCTGAATCATATGATTCTTTTTATATCGTTTAATGATATTGAAAACTGTTGAATGACTGAAGTTAACTGTTTCAGTAGTTTCTCTAATAGATTTTCCACGTTCAATATGCAAATTAATAACTAATTTTCGAATTCCAGGCAAAGTTTCTTTTCGTTTAGCATTCATGGCTGCACAGAGCTAAAAAACACAAAAATTCCAAAACAAACTGGAGAGAAATACTGCAGACGATTTTATAAATTATTGGCAATTGCTTTTGAGTAAAAATAAATACCCCAAAAGATATTTTTATTGCTTACTTCAGACGATTTTTGTTGCATAGTACGTAGTGTCCCATCACTTAAGTGAGCCATTTTCTGCTCCGTTCTAAACAATTGTATTTTTATTAAATTAATATTTTAATATTTTGAGAAAATGTATGTTATGTAATAATTGTTACTAAATTTAAGTATGAAACACACCCACAAAAAATTTTACATGTTTTTTAAATTTATTTTATTGCAGTTTCCTTTTGTAAAGCACAAGTGTCCCATCACTTTTTTGAGACACTGTATTTTGGCGACATTTTGGTAAGCGATAAAGGTCTAGCTGGACTTTAGCACTGTACTGATAAAGTCAGAGTGTGCGCATCCCATTTTTGCATTCTGGGTTTTTTAAGTGAAAATAGGTCGACGTGTACATTGATGATACCGTGTATGTGCAGTTCTTAAAAACGCGGCAAGCAGTGGGCGATCCTGCACTTTCTCCCAATTTCGCACCTAATCTTCGTCGTGATTAAGCACTTTTGTTCCATAAAATTTCTAGCATAAGCGTAATTCAGCTAGCAGATTGTGGGAAAAAAATGTTGTATGGCAACCCTTTTGATGTTGAAACTTAACTCTTTTGCTGCAGTGGTTTAATTGCTCATCAGTTCGTGTCGTGCGTGTTTTGAAATGTCCTATGTTGCAATGATAGACGTGGTGGGAAGATTTTAGTCGCATATTTTAGATTGTGTGGAAAGTAATTTTGTATTAAAAGGTGCGATGCTGGAGTTGTTAACAAGTCTTTTGTTCACAGGTGTGTTTATGAGGATCAAAGTTTATTTTTGGAATTTCTGTGAGACTTTTAAAACGGAGATCGGAATGCGGAGCTGCTATGAGAACTTGGACAAAGAAGGGCGTTTCTGATGGTTTGTGTGTGGATTTGGAGTTAAATGTTTGCTGGTAAAGTATGTGGCTGTCAGGGGAGTTTAAGATTTGGATCGTGGTTTTCGTGTAGTAAGTTAACTTTGGAGGAAGTTTTTATCCTTACTTTCAAAATTTTGAATCGCAGAAAGACATGCGATATAGCAAAATCGTGGCACTTTTGTTCACAGACGTGTGACTGGCAAAATTTTATTAACAAATGTATTATGGTAAGTGCATTTTATTTTACTGTTTTTATTGGTTAATCTTTGGATTATGGTAACTCGGCGATTTTTTTGGCGAAAATTTGGCGACCAACCCTGCTACAGCAACCTGCTAGCTTTTGTTTGGCTGCCATTTTGTTTTCACGAAGTAAAGGCATTTTTTTTTTTAACTCAACATTTTTTTTCCAACAATCTGCTAACCGAATTACGCTTATGCTAGAACTTTTATGGAAAAAAAGTGCTTAATCGTGACGAAGATTAGGTGCAAAATTGGGAGAAAGTGTAGAATCGCAAACTGCTTGCCGCGTTTTTAAGAACTACACATACACGGTATCCATGTACACGTCGACCTATTTTCACTTAAAAAAAAAAAAAAAAAAAATCCCAGAATTGCACAAAAATGGCATTGCGCACACTCTTGACTTTATCCATGTACACTGCTAAAGTCCTAGGTAGTAACCTTTATCGTCTTATCAAAATGTCGCCAAACTATCTGTTACCATATTCCAAAGATTAGCCTTTTTATTTTGTAGAATGTTTTGCTGATTGTGTTTTTACTATGAATTTCTATTGTTATTGTTTTTTTTTAATTGTTTGTAATTTTAGTTATTTTAGTTTATTTTGTTGATTTATGCACAATCAATTTTTTTACAATTCGTAGATTTTTTTAAAGTTTAAACAGGATGCTGTATACATGGTATTCTTTGAAATTTATTGTTGTAATGTTAATTTATTAAAGTGAGGTGTGCATAGTTCGTAGATTCTTTCGCTGCCTAGATTGTGCAATTCGTAGATGTTTTTTTAAGTTAAAACATATCGCTGTGTACATGGATTCTTGTCAAATTTTTTTGGTTAGAAACTTTACGTTTTTGCTATCTAAATTTTTTGTTTTTGTTTTCGGATTTTTAGCTTAAATTGTGTGTTCAAAACGTGGTTTTTGGAGACAGTTTAGGCTTAACGTTCGAAATGTAGACGAAAAATTTAGATAGTAATATGCCACCGTGGAGTTTCTGGCCAAAAATATTTGGCGAGAAATTTTTCGTACATGAGAGTAGTTCCACTTTTGTTTCAGTTGCTATTATGTAAAAACATCAGTATATATTGATGTAACTGAAAGTGTAACATCAGTATGAGTTCTGATGGCTGCATACTTTCTGCATTTTTGTAAATAATTAATAATGTATAATAACGTTTTGTAGGTATTTCATTGAGAATGCTGTAAAGTTAATGTACATTTAAAAAATGCATTCCTGTTCATATACTGAAGGACTTTCAAGTTACTGAGATTGATAAGATACAGTCAGGCGAAACTTTTATGCTGATGATTAGAGCAAATTATAGTCTTTATTTAGAAACTGATAAGCTTAAAGCAAATGAAGAAATGCCATATCTTGCTGAAGGTATGAATATCATCTCTTCTCTAAATTATTTAAAAACACTTTCAGATTTGAAGACATTGAGGCTGTTTTCTCCTTTAAATGCTAGAAATATTAATAAACTGCCATGTTTTAAAGAGAGAAGAGAAACTTTAGTTAGAGCTGGAATTGGTCTAGACTGTGAAAATAATGAAGCTGTTGAACAAGAAACATGTAGATTAAAGAGAAAGTGAGAGGTAGGATTTCATGAAATGTCAAACAGTGGCCACCAAACATAAATGTTGGTATAAAATGTAGATTGAAACAGTAATGTCAATGCCAACAATAGATTTAAGATGCATTGCTGCTGAAATATAACCATATGCTGTACTTGTAAGAAGAGTTTCATGAAATGAAAATTCTTTGAACTAGTTTTAAACTGTCATTCCCATTTTCTCTTGAATGGCACATGATTATTGGCTGCATTAGCAATAAAATGTAACATCATTTTATGGATGTTGGAGGAAAGTTTTTAACTATGGATAATTGTTTTTCATAAAGAATTTAATATCAGACTCTTCATCATTTGGTACTTGCCAAATCATGATATCCATCTTGGTTCTTTTATTAATTATTAAATTCTTTTATTAATTATTAATTATTAAATGACCATGTTTGATATGCTTCATGATATAAAGTTATTATCACTGAAATGCTTGCATACATTTTGGCTGCTATCTCATGAATGAAGAAAAAACAAATTTCTGAAAGGAAGGCTGAAATCTGCCAGCAGATTTTTAAACTAAAGATTTATTCTTCATATGAAGAAGCATGTATTTATTGATCTAGGAAACTTGAAATAACTTGATTGAATTTTTGTTAATAAATATATAAATCTATTCCAATAATTCACTTTTTGCATTCTGAAATCGCAGCCAGCTTCTGCAGTACAACACTTTACTGAGAGAAGGTAGTGAAGCTACCTACAGGAGGATTAAGAAAAGCATGTTCATCTTTCTGATGTTCTGTTGGTTATTTGCATTCTATAATTATGCTCTTTTATCCTCAGTTTACCAAGGCCAAAGAAGTATTTGAAAATATTAGAAATGAACTGTTTGTAATTCATAAAGCATGTACCTAAGAAGAACTAGTTATGGTGTGTTGATATGCAAAAGTCTAAACACTCCGGGCACTAATTTCCAGCGACTGTCCTGATCATGATGCAAATACCCATTTGCAGTTTACTGCTTATGTTATGTTTTGGTAGAATTTAGATTTTTATTTTTCTCTCCTTTCTCTCTCTCTATATATGTATTAGGTACAAATGTCATATACAGCCTGGGATACATGTGGTCACTAAATGTGGAAATATTTTGTGTTGGATGGTTTAGTTGAGATTTTGTTTGTATGGCAACCTTTTTTACGTGTAAAGTTTCGTGAGGAATGTGGTTGTATTTCGTCATGGGGGTTGATGGTTACGTATTGAATAATGCCGTATAATTCCATGAAGGAAGTTGTGGAGAATCCGAAATGTAAATTTCAGATTAATGAAATATGAAGTAGTGAGATTTTTTCTAAAACTTGAACTCTTACACATTAAATGAGTATTTTCTTTCTGATACAGTTAGGCTTTTCTTAAATCAGCTATAATTTAAATCACTAGTAATGGTCTTCTAGACTTTGCCACTGTGTGCAATCTCTGGTTTATGAATTATGATGTCTGGAGTTTCCCTAAATTCTGTTCCATTGGTTGTAGAAGTAACTGTCTAAAGCTGCCCTGTTGACATGGCAGCAGTAGCCTTGGACCGGGATTTGAATCCTGGAGAAGGCTTGAATATTCATAAGTGCATAGTGCCTTCACAGCATAGGGACACTTAAAATATTGTCAAGCTGGAAGCTTCTCGAGGGCATGGTGATGGAGAAAGAAGAGTAGATCTTCGAAGAAGCTGCCCTCCGGAGGTTCTCTGTTAGAAGAATTGGAGCAGAGAGTAATGCAGCAGTGGGACTCAACAGTCCATATGCTGAAACACCTCTTGACCTGCTACCTTATCATCAGTGCAAAATACTGCGTTTAATTTCTTTCACCAAGTTCAGCCTCTTTTCCCGTCATTATTTTGTTGCCCAATAGGAAATGATTTTAAGTTATAAAAATAAAAATTCTGCTACAACTTGCAAGCTTGATAATTGCAAGATTTATTGGTACTTTTTTATTATCCACCATACCCTGAAAAGAATTCACCAAGTGATGTGCTGTGTGACCAAAATGGTCAACCTAGATATGCATGTGCGCACAGCAGATGAGCAATTGTTGGGCCTGGAGTTTGCTAGCTAATGAAAAGGAAAGTGTTGCATTTCTTTAGAACTATAGCATTTTTTCCTAACATTAGAGCATGCAAAAACTTGCATGTCATAAAATGCTTTGTAAATGATCAAATTTTGTGGATAAAAATTTTTGCATTATTGCCAAATTTTTGCATATCTCTGATGCTTTTTTAAACAAAAACATATTGCTCTGTACATGCGAAACAGCATGTGCAGTGTCAAATTTATGCAATTTTATGACTTTTTAAGCAGAAACAGATCACTGTGTATGTGATAAGAATGACTGTGTGTGTAGTGACAAGGTTATTCTACAATGCCAAGTTTCTGCAGTTCTGTGATGTTTTTTGAAGCTTAAAAAGATGTCTGTGTTCATAGGGAGAAGAGGATGCTTGTAACATTTTTAATTTTGATAATTTTTTTGTATTTTATGTAATTTGTAATATGCGTTAATTTTTGAAAATGGCTGTTGTCTTTAACATCTTAAGTTGGGAAAGAAGTAGCCACCAATGACTGGTGACTTTTCCCAGGGTTATGTAGATAATCAGAAAGTACCAATGTTTTTATTTGTTATTTTTCTTTTAATAAGTTTATATTCTTTCTTTCCTTTTTGTGTTTCTAGTTTGGACGGATTAAGATTGAAAAAGCTGAAAAAAGACTTAAAATACAACCCATAGAAAATGAATGCAATGATCTATATCATTCAGGTTGTATAAAATTTTTCATTCTACATGCATTTGTCATCTATCTTTAAATGATAGGAATAATGAAATCTCATTGAAGTACTTAAATTATGACTTTTAGTGAAGTTATCTTATTTAACTGATTGAGAATAAGATGAATTTACTGTTCTGTTCTCTGTCAAGTTTTTACTGTGAATAATAGCAAATATTCTAAATAAAAATTTTTATATCTGGGTTGGATTGGATTATTGTAATTTGGCACAAAACCTGTCAAGGTTATCTGCGCCAGACAAATGGTAACAATGCAATTAGTCATTTGTAAAAACTTCCAGCTTAGGTAAGAGACAGATTACAGTCTATGATAAGAGCTCATATCTTTAAAAAAAAAAAAAAAAAAAAAAAAAAACAGGTTAAAATCTATTATAAAAGCCAATATCTTTTAAAAACAGAAACAAATTACGATGATGTGCTTTTCCAATTAAATTTTTTTAAGTCCAGTTCTGAACCATTAAAATGTTTTTGGCGAAAATAATTAAAACTCTGGCATTCCACCAAGATATAATGAACTGCCAGATCTGCGTTGCAGTTTGGGCAGCTGGGATTCTCTTCTCCCTTCAGAAGATACTCATGGGTCAGGCGACAATGGCCAATTCTCAGTTGAGTCAAGAGGACATCTTCCTTTCTATTAACCATACATGGCCAGTATCCAATGGTGGGTTTTACATTTCTCAGCTTGTTACATACTCTGTCATCCCATTGCTTCTGCCATTTGCTGAGGATTTTGATTTTGACAAACCCTTTGATGTCTGCTAGTGGAATCTGAAGATTGTACATTGTGGTTGCAGTTTTAGCTGCAATATCTGCCAATTCATTCCCCTTAATGGCAACGTGTCCAGGGATCCACGAATATAAAATCTGGTATCCCCGAATTTTTAAAGAATGATTCAACTTTAGGATTCTGATTGCAACTGGATAAGTACATTGAGCGTGATTTTTCAAGGACATTAAGGCACTCATGGAATCTGTGTAGATAATAAATTTTGTGTACTTCTGTTTTGAAAGGTAAGTCAAAGCCAGATGGATTGCAGTAAGCTCAGAAGTAAGCACAGAGCAAACTGTATGTAATCGAACCCCTACTATTGTTTTTTCTGTGACGAAAGCAGCGCCAACATGATCCTGGGATTTTGATCCATCTGTATATAGAGGGATATATTTCCTATATTTGTTTCTATGTTGAGAAAAAATCTGCTTGTAGATGATTTCATTAGTTTGTCATTTATTCCAGTGTCGAAAAGTATACAGAGAATGGATTCTCCTATCCTCCCAGGGAGGAATTCCAAAAAATTCCTCCATCTGTATATCTATATTAGATAAATTATACTCCTCCACCAGAGCACTCATCCGCAAGCCGAAAGATGGGACACATGATGGTCGTGCCTGATATAAACGGGAGTATTGGTCATTAAGCAATATTGACCGTGTAGAATTTTCGGTTTGTGATAAGACTTTGAAATAATGCTTAAGACAAAGATTTTCACGTCTTAACCGCAGGGAGGTCTCGTTACTTTCCACATATAAGCTTTCCACTGGAGAAGTTCTAAAGGCACCAGTGCATATCCGAAGTGCATGGTGATGTATCGGATCAAGTTTGGCTAATACTGAAGGCCTTGCCGACCCATAAATGATTGTTCCATAATCTAGTTTCGAACGAATGAGAGCTCTCTATATAAGAAGCATTGAGCTTCAATCAGCACCCCAAGAAGTATTTGACAGTACTTTCAGAATATTCATAGTTTTTAAACATTTCTTTTTTAGATATGTAATATGGGGGAGGAACGTAAGCTTATGGTCAAATATCATTCCTAGGAATTTTATTTCCTTTTCTACAGGAATCAGCACATCTTGCAGATAAAGTTCGGGGTCAGGGTGAAGAATTTTCTTTCGTCAGAAATGTACACACACAGTCTTTTGAGTAGAGAATCTAAAACCATTTTCCTGTGACCATTTAACAATTCTATTGAGAGATGTCTGCAATTTACATTCGATGTCTTTCAGGTCTTCTCCCTGGCAACTGACTTGCAGGTCATCGACATAGAGCATACCCTGGACAGCTAGAGGCAGTTGTTTTAAAACAGAATTAATTTTTATACTAAATAATGTAACACTTAAAACACTTCTTTGCGGAATGCCCTCTTCTTGATGGAACATGTCAGAAAGTGTATCGCCTATCTTCACATGAAACTTCCGATCCTGTAGGAAATGTTTGAAGAATATTACGTATTTCCAGCATCATTCTGACTAGAGGGTGCTGCGTTCGTCCTAATAGTCAGTGGCAGGCAGGATACTAAAGGTGTAAGACGTGGAAGGCAGAGATGCCTAATAATATATCTCTAATTGATTAAAATTTTCGTATATTTTCTTGTAAATAAATGTTGTTATTGTTAACAATACCTCTTATTATCTCTTGGATGCACCTTTAGTCTCACAGAACCATTAGATGCAAAATTGGTGCATCTTGTCCGCGAATGTGGAATATCGGAAGTAATTAGTCATCATTACTGGATTATATTTCTGAGAAGTTTGGATACTTTACGTACGCTTTTGGATACGTAACATTGCATACTGGACTGTGGAGGTAAGATCTTTTGAACTCACAAATTCGGAGTTAATATGGATAAGCTTTCGAAAATAATTGAAAAAAGAAGTAACGTTCGCGCTAGTGTTACTAAACTAGTTAAAAGAGTGCAGAAGCTTGATGAAGCCGTCGAAGACGTAAGTTCATTATCAGAACTACTGGAACTATTAGAAACGAAGGAGCAGATCTTGAAAAGCCATGATTTAGAGGTGGAAGCACTCATAGACGATCCGGAAAAATTTAAAGGTGAATTAAAAGCTTCGGAAGAATACGATGACAAAATATTGTTAGCTAAGATTAAACTAAAAAGCAAAATTAAAGAATTAGCAGCAGAAAATGTTCAGCGGACTTCTTCAGTTCTTAACACATCTAGTGTTTCGGAAAAACACCGTTACGGCTTTAAAATTACCAAAGTTAGAAATTTCGCGATTCTTGGTGATTCTGGCAAATTTATGGAATTCTTAAACTGTTTTGATAGCGCAATCGGTTCAAACAATTCACTTACGAAAATTGAAAAATTCCAATATTTAAAATCTCTTCTTTCTGGTCCTGCATATAACGTTGTTGCGGGTTTTGAATTAAATGAGAAAAACTATGACTCATGTCTTGAGCTTTTAAAACAAAGATATGGTAGAACTGATTCTATTATAAATTCTTACATGACTAAATTATTAAGCTTAGAACCCGTGAGAAGTTCGTCTAATGTTAAGGGTTTGCGTAAATTATACGATGAAATAGAAGTTAATATAAGAAATTTGCGTTCATTAAATGTAACGGAGGGTTCATATAGGCATTTATTGAATCCAATATTACTGAAGTTGCTACCACAAGATTTGGTGTTAGATTTTCACCGAAAACGAAACAAAGAAGTGAATTGTGAGGTTTCGGAAATTATTACGTTTTTGAGGAATGAAGTCGAATCTAGGGAAATTGCCGAAACTGTGATGAGCCCCCTAAAAAGTTACGAAACAAAACGATCCTTTTCCCAAAATTATCAAAGTGGTCAAACTTATCAGAAAAACTATTCAAAGCCTAAAAATATATCAACCGCTTCAGCGTTAAATACACAAATAAAAAATGCTTGTTTATTCTGTGACGGTCATCACGATTCCGTAAGTTGTAAAAAATTGGATGTAGAACAAAAAATAAATAAGCTTAGGACTGAAGCTAGATGCTGGTGTTGTTTCCAGAAATATCACAGGTCTCGCGTATGCAGGGCAAAAATATCGTGTAAAAATTGTTTAAGCAATTTTCATCATGAGTCAGTGTGTAGAAAAAATAAACCCGTTAATGTTAAGACGAGAGGTTGTGAGAAGCAAGTGGAAAGCGAAACTGTTTTGAATGACTCACAATCTAAATCTAATAAAAACGCCGAGAATATTTCTGTGTCTCATAGTAATATATGTACCAAAAATAAGCCCTTTTTACAAACATGTACAGTTTTAGCCTGTTCGGATAAAAATTCAGTCTTAACTAATGTTATTTTAGACAATGGTAGTCATCGAAGTTTTATTTTCATCTCGATTAGTTAAAGAATTAAAATTAAAGCCAATACGCTACGAAAGAATAGCTATTTTTGCTTTCGGAGACAAAATAGCACGTGAGAAGGAATACGGTATCGTTTCATTGACGTTGCGCAATAGGGATCAAAGTTCGAATTCGTACGAGTTAGAAGCTGTCATAACGGATTATATATCTAATTTGTCCTTGAAAATTCCTGATGTATCTATTCGTAATGCGTTGAAGGAAAGAGGTTTACCTTTGGCTGATTCATTTTCTGGCGACTGCCAGACGGAAATACTTATCGGATGCGATTCATTTTGGGATATTGTTTATGACCAGAGAGTTAAGTTAAATGAAAACATTACTGCGATAAATTCTTCTTTCGGTTGGTTACTAGCAGGAGTAAAGGAAGTAATAAATTGACTAATAATTATGAAAATGTATGTTTAGTCATGGACTCTTCTTCCATTTTGTGCGATTTGAAAAAATTTTGGGAAATAGAAGAATTTCAGTCAGACAAACAAAACTTTTCTGAATGGGACAATCAGTTGATTGAAAAATTTGAAAATTCTCTGGAATTTAATGGGGAAAGGTACGTTTGTAGATTGATGTGGAAGGAAAACTTGGGACCTGCAGTTGGGTTGAATTCTAATTATGAGGTTGCGAAAAAGCGTTTTGATTCGTTAAAGCAAAAACTAAATAAAAATCAAGAAATTTATGACCAGTATAAACAAATTATATCGGATCAGTTAGAATGTCAGATTGTGGGAAAATGTGTTAATGAAGATAAAAATTCAGGATATTATATGCCCCACAGAGCGGTAATTAGGGATGACAAGGAAACAACTCGAGTTAGAATTGTTTATGACTGTAGCAGTAAGGCTAA